CACCCAGCGGTTCAAAAGCCTTCAGGCAAGTAGATGAATGGGTACCCACTCCTAGGAGTGGGGGGGGCACCTTCCTTCCTCCACGAACTGGAGTGCAGCAGAAACGGCGACAGATGGCGTATGGAGATCCTGCGATCCGGCGAACATGGCGGCGGCTGACGGCGAAAGGCAGTGGGCGACCCAGACGGTGATTGGCCTGGATGGCGCGGTGACGAGATGACGCAGCGTGGTCGGAGCCTATGACCAGCCTATGACCAGCTGCTGCAGCCGTCACATAGCTGCGTGCCGCACGGACCGTGCCTGAAGGAGTCGCTGCAAGGAAAAGAGCAGACCTCGCCGAGAAAAACCGCCGCCTGGAGACAGAAGATCCCTCCATAGATGAAACAACATGGAATAGAGCTCGGCTGCTCAGGTGCCCAGTAGGCACTCACCCTTCCCTGTATTTGTGGCCCTAGTTAGATGAAATGTAGAATGCTCTGTAAACCGCTCTGAGCCTTCGGGAAGGAGCGGTATATAAATGTAATGTAATAATAATAATAATAATAATAACTATTCTTTGTCTTGGGTTTTTAATCTAGTCCAGACCAGACCTGCTGCTTGGTAATATAATTTTATATTTGGGACTGCTAAGCCTCCTCTCTTTTTCTCATCTTGTAATATTTTGAAGTTTATTCTTGTTGGGGGGGTTTTCCCCATTCCATATAAACTCATTTATCTGTCTTTACCATTCCTTCAATACTCTTTCTTCAATGTACATGGGTAACATTTGGAACAAAAAGTTTAGTTTGGGCAGGACATTCATTTTAATTGCAGATATTTTAGCATGTGACCTCCCACAATGGATATTCTTCCCAGCCATTTCTTCCATCTTAATAAATCTGCCTGAATCAATTTCCAAATTTTCTGATAGTCATTTTTTAAGAAATTACAGTTTTGCCCAGTCATGTTTATTCCCAAATATTTAATAGGGTGCTCTTTATAACCTCTTTTTCTTGCTGTGTTAAAAATTTCATTATCATTTTTTGGGGGTTTTCCTGTTAATTTTATAGTCTGATAGGGATCCACATTCTTCAATATGTTCAATTACATATTGCAATGATTTCTGGGAATTCAAGACTGTTAGAACCACATTGCTTAACTTTTCATTTTGAACTCTGCATCATCCACTTTTATTCCCTTAATTGTTGTCTTCTCTAATCTTTATAGCTAAACGCTCTATTGCTAGTATATAAATAATAAAGGTGATAAAGGACATCCCTGACGTGTTCTTTTTTCACTTGAAATTGCTTCTGTTAGTTTCCCATTAATTAAAATCTTTCCTTGTTGGTTTGAGTATATTCCATGTATCCAGCTCCAAAACAAAGGACCACAGCACATAGCTCGTAAAATATTCAATAAGAAAGGCCATATTAAGTTGTCAAACACTTTCGCTGCATCTAAAAATAGAAATGCTGCTTTTCTTTCTCTTCTTATTCACAAATTCGATTGCATCTATTATAATTCGTATATTATCTTTTGTGTACCCCTTTAATACAAAACCTGTTTGGTTGGAATGTTTTATATTCAGTATGTACTTTCTTAATCCTTCTGCCATTATTGTGGCAAAAATGTTGTAGTCTACATTCAAAAGCAACATAGTTCTATAAGACTGTGGTAGCGATGCATTGCTACCCTCCTTTATGTATTAGTGTTATATACGCCTCTTGCCACATCAGGGGTATTGTCTTTTTACCCTTTAGCTCATTCATAACTTTTTGTAATGGTATTATTAATACTTCTTCAAAATGTTTATAATACGTTGCTGTCAACTTGTCTGGTCTGGGTGCTTTATCCTTCTTCATATTCTTTACTGCTTGAGAGATTTCTTGAACTGTTATTGTTTGATTTAATATTTTTCTAGGTTCTGCCACAAACTTGGCAATCAGGATATCTTTTAAATATTTCGTTATTCTTTCTTCTAAAAGAAACTTCTTTTTGTATAATCCTGAGGGCACACTGATAAATTGTTCCTGTATTTCTTTTTCTGCATATGTAATTTGGTGAGTCAGTTTGGTGTAGTGATTAGCAGCACAGAATCTAATCTGGGAGAACTGGGTTTGATTCCCCACTCCTCCACATGCAGCTGCTGGTATGACCTTCGGTCAGTCACAAGTTCTTTCAGAGCTGTTCTCTCAAGAGTTGTTATTTCAAGAGCTCTCTCAGCCCCACCTACCTCACAGGGTGTCTGTAGTGGGGAGGGGAAGGGAAAGGAGATTGTAAACCGCTTCAGGTAGTGAAGGGTGGGGTATAAATCCAATCTCTTCTCTTCTTCCTTTACCTCTGTTATTACTCTCTCTTTTTTTCTTTCCTTCCTGAGACAATACACCAGGTATCTGCCAGGTTTATCTGAATGTTCAGAATATCTGTGTTTTAAAAATTTGGGTTTTTTTCTTGTACCTCTTCTACTTCTAACATATCTAACTGGTTTTTTAATGGTTTAATCTCTGCTAGTGTCTTATTATGATTGTTTCTATGTTCTTATTTCAATCCCTTAATTTTTTTCTATTATTTTAGTTTGTTCTAATCTTTCTCACATTTTTAGCAGCAGCTACTAGTAGAATTCCTCTAATGAAAGCTTTACTTGCTTCTCATATTGTAGCTGGGGACATTCCTTCTGTGTTGTTTATTTAAAAAAACTCTTCCACGTTTTTTACACTTATTTACTACATCTTCTCGTACGAAAAGAGTATTTATATTTATTTATTTATATTTAAATTTATACCCCGCCCTACCCCGAAGGCTCAGGGCGGTATCATTTAATCTCCATATTCTTCTTGATTTTCTATTCCATTGCAAGACTACTTCTATGGGATTATGGTCTGCAAATATCTTCGGCTGAATCTCTTTTTTTTTCTAAATTCATTGTCACACTTTTTGATATCTAATACATGTCTACTCTTTGGAAGTTTGGTCATCCAGGAGTATTCTAATTCCAGCATTTCCATGTCTTGAAATACATTTTAAGGTAATTTCCCACCTTTAATATTCCTTGTCTTTTTTTACGACTAGTACTCCGTATCTCCAAGAATCATTATTTCCTCATCTTGGAACAAATGGCTTGACACAATTACTACTCTGAAATACTGATTAGTTAACTGTTTGGGGCTTTTTAACCGTAGTTTGTATCAGTTGTGATTTATGTCATGTCTGAATTCACAAGCCTTTCATATTGCCATTCTAAACTTCATGTTATTCATTGTTGGCCAGGTTCCAAGTAAAGCAATACAGAGACTGAGGTTTCATACAGGAATTTCATTCCATTAATAAGCCATCTCTGAAGCGATCTGGTCATTCAAACAGTGCTGCACTTTCCCCCCACCCTTTTTAGCTGAGTGATCTTCCTCGAACTTTGTTCTTTTAACATTCTAAGTCGAGTACTACAATGCTCATTATAGCACTCAATATAGTGTTCAATATAGCACTTCAGTGCTACAACAGTACCATTGAGATGCCTTGGTACCAGAGATACACTGATTGCGGCTGTTGTTACATGGATACAAGAGGAGAGAAATAGCTCATTGGGCTCAGGGCATCAGTGATTGGTGTTACAGAAGTTGCACAGCCACGGTTCATCACTCCATCTGCCCATCACAGAGTTGTTCCACCAGTCGTTGCTGTGGAGTTTGAGGGACTATATGTGCTGAGAACAGTGGTGCCCGTGCCTTCCAAGATGCCTTCCTGCAATACTTGGATGTCACACTGCTTGCCAAATGCACCCTAGATCTCTGCACAAAGTATGTACAGAAGCACTTCATGAAAGTTAACAGTACCTCTAGCATAAGCTGAACCACAGCAGAAATACTGACCAAGATTGAAAGATCACTAGCCTAAAAAATATCCACATAAAACACTCACCAACCTTCAACCCACAAAGAGAAGATTGCCTCCCTGAGATATATACCTGAAATTCTCTTGGCAACAAGTCCCTTGCCAGCCAGTCATGTCTGGGCATTCATGGGTTGCATGGATGAGTGAGCATCAGGACATTTGCTACAGACACCTTTGGATAGCAACTTCTGTAACATCAATCACAGATGCCCTGAGCAACCGCTGCCCAATGAGCTACTTTTCTCCCCCAGTATCCATATAACAACAGCCACAATCTCAATGTATCGCAATGGTGCCAAGGTATCTCAATGGTGCAATATTGGTCTAGAACTATAGCACTCAACTTAGAACGTTCAAAAAAAAAGTTTGAGGAAGATCGCGCAGCAAAAAAAGGGCAGAAAAATTGTGGTGCTATTAGTTTTTAATTTAAACATTTTAAAAACCTTACTGCAGCAGAGGAAATAGCCACCATTTGGAGGGAGTGCTCATTCTTGTGACAAGGGCAAAATAGGTGGGGAGTGGCCTCCCTACCCCCACCTCTTTGTCAGTGAAGCAAGATGCCTCCACCACTTGCCAGTGATGCTGGCTGCTGCCCTTCCTAGGATTGCCTTTCTTGGTGCCACCTGCCCCCACTGCTGTGTGAGTCAGGTTAAGCAGCAGCAGTTGCAGGCAGCTCACTAGACAGCCAAGCAAGCAGCAGCACTGTAGGCAGGAAGGAAAAGTGGGAGCCCTCCCCACACTGCACGAGCCAGTCAGGTGGAGGAGGCAGTACTGCAGGCGGGAAAGGAAGGAGTGGGAGTTGTGCCAGGGAGCCAGGCAGGTGGAGGTGACGGTGCATCAGGTGGGCAGGCTGGCCAACAAGTGGGGGTGGAAGGATCAGATTTCCCCCCTGCAAATCTCACCGTTCCCCCACTTATACAGTTCTGTTTACAGAAAGCTTCTACAGTTCCCATATGTAAGAGAAAGCTTTTATCTACCTTAAGCCTTCAAGACAGCAAAACAGACTGTCAGGTACCCAATTAGCTGTGAGTTCCAAGTACTTCTTAGAAAACAATGTATTGGCACACAACCACCTCTTTCAATATATTATTACTGCCCAGCAAGAACCGGGGGGGGGGGGGGGAGAGACTCACCAAGTTGTAAAGTTCATTGTTCCCTAGGTCCAGCTCCTCTAGCCTTTGTAGCTGGGCAACTGACCTGGAAAAAAAAGAACAATGTATTTCCTGTACAACATTTTCAGCAGTCCAGCAACAAACTAGGGTATCTTTGGCTTAGACATCATGAACAAGCAAGTACATGAACCTGGCTTGCTACGATGTCATGTTCTCTTTCATTCCTCTATGTGCATGGAGCAAAACTGAAGATTTCTTCCTTCTATAGGTCTTCACATGGCAATTTGTTGCAATGTTTGAGTGTGGGTCTGAACAAACTGGCGTTTATGTGGAGGAAGCAAATGCTTCAAACTCCAGTTTGCCACAATGCCCATTGGCATTTCTAGGATAGAACAAGAAATACTTAGTTGTACTCCATACTCACATACACACGCATAGCAACAAGTGAGGTTTCTGTACATCATGAATAAACCTCTGACTGTTCACAACATCTAGTCTTAATGTTCAACAAAAAGGAAATATAAAATCTGTTAACGAAAATATTGAATTTACACAACTTACTCAGGTAAATACGTCAACAAATTCTCTCTTAATTCCAGTGATGCCAGGTTATAAAGGCTAAAAAATAAAAGAGGCAACATTATCCTTTTCTAGTTTCTGAAAAAGGACATTTCTTCCAAAATAAAATAGCTGCTAAAATAATGAACAATATATCTATCTATACAGATTTATATTATTATTATTTATTAAATGTATAGACTTTCCTTTCCCAAAGGGCTCAGGCTGGTGCACAAAAGGTTAAAATATACAATAAATTATTTACAGATTACAATAAAATCAACCACATTAGTTGATGGCTTAAAAATGCGGTTCACTCCCTCCCCCAGGTGGATAATGGAGCGGTCGGTCATAGACACACACATACACACACACCTCAAAATTGTGAATAATTAAATCCTGAGACACCAGGTTCAAATACCCTGTCTGCCATGGAAGCTCACTGAGAAAAATTTCACATTTCAACATAACAGAAAAAAGCACCAACTTTACAAAGGTGCCATGCCTCATGATTCACAACCAAGTATGTAGCTAGATATGTTCGACTTTCAGCCCCATTCCATGATGCCTGAATTCACTGCTGAAAAGGACTGTATGTGTACTGACCAAAAACAAAAACACCTGATCCAAATTTTCACTATTTATTGATGGCTCAAACTTATTAATATATTCACATGGATAATCTACCCTAGTTCCTTGACAAAAAAAACAACAACCTCATGAACATGTATGTTTCCACTTCACAGAAATAAAGACTGGTGACGAGCAACTGAGTAATGGAACACCACATAATATAATTATGCTAAGTTATATGCAAAGATGCATTTCATAAATGGAATGCCATTCTACTTGCACAAAAGGGGGGGAGGCATGATATTCAAATTCATGACAGCCTTCTATTATGCCTTCCTTCACCAAAGAAATGGAGGATGACTTTTAGATGAAGATTTCCTTTGAGGAAGAAAGTCTCTTTCTTTTGACGGGAGATCTGGAAGAGACCCACAGAATCCAACCCAGGATTTATACAGGTTTTCCAGCTGAGCAGCAGCCCCAGCACATGTACCCATTATTGTTTTCAAGGATTCCCAAACCCCAAGGAGCAGCTCTTGTATGGTGGCCTACAGTAAACAGAGGGAGGCAGAAAAGATCTGCTGCATGAATTGTTCTTCTTGCAGTTCTTTGGAGCCAATCCATTCAGTTGATATAGATGTGCATTTTTTACAGATATATGGAAAGAGAAATGTTAATATCGATTAGAGTGTATGATTTTGAATAAGACTGGAAAGTGGCTGTGGAGGGTTGTTCAGATTTGCATGCACTGATCTGTTAAGAAAGTTTAAGTAAACACACACACACAAATGGACTTATAGAAATAAATTGTGTGTGTATAATTTGTAAAGATGATTTTATAAAATATGCAAGTGTATGGTTTATATTTATATATTATTTTGTTTTCATATTGAACAATAGTTAGAGAAGAAAATGCAATGATAGAATTTATAATGTAGGGACACTGTTTTACATTGTTAGGAAATTGGTATTTGGAGGACTTTTCCTAAGCCATTGCCTTAGTTCTACAAGGGTTAGAGAAGGGGTGTCAAACGTAAGGCCCAGAGGCTGGAAGCAACCTGCCCATGGCTTTAATCAGGCCAGCAGCTCTTTTGTTCCCCCCTCTTCCTCCTCCTGTCCACACCCTTTGAAGCTTGAGGCTGCCAAAGTTCCCAGCTCCCTCCCTCTTGTCTTTGTCTGCTTCCGCAGGAAACTCCTCTGAGCTTGCAAAGTTACAAAGAAAATACGGAATGGAGCTTTCCATTAAGGTCTCTACACCCAGACTACTCTGGGATTGTTTCTAGCAATAGAAACAGTGCTCTGGGACTGGAATGACAGCCCCCAGAGTGCAATGACAGCACTGGGGAGTAGCAGCAGCATTCTGGAAACAATCCCACTCTGGGGGCCCTCATTCCAATCCCAGAATGCTTCTGCTACTCCCAGGGACTGTCATTTCACTCTGGTGGCTGTCATTCCAGTCCCAAAGTAGTCTATCTGGGCCCAGAGACCTTAATGGGAAATCCATTTCTCATTTTCTTTGCAACTTTGTCTGTGCTACAATGTATTTCAATGGTGTGGAGCGCAAGTAGTTTCACTTTCCAGTGTTTGTATAGCTGAAGCTTCTGCTTGCTAGAGTTATCTCCTTGAAGTTGAAGTTTCGAGCCAGTTTCTCTCTCCTGAATGGGCCTGAGACTGGGTGCCTGAGTGAGTAATCTAACCTGGGAACCCACAGCCAGAGGTCATTTCGGGGGGAACGCGGGGGAACGCAGTTCCCCCGGGTGAGGTGCAGGGGGCGGGGCACATGACGAAGCCCCGCCCCCTGCTTCCGGCCGCCCCACTTCCAGCCCTCATTCAGCCAGGAGGAGGCAGGAGAAGAGGGAGGGTAAGTTGCTTCCTCCCCGCCTCTCCCCACCCCTGCCTGCCTGGGGCCAGGGAGGGCCTTGGCGGGGCTTCCTCGCACTCCCGCTGGCCTTGCAGGTCCACCGCCGGGCCCCTGATGTCAGGGGGTGTGGCATATGCTAATGAGTTGGGGGGAGATGCTTCCAATGCCCAGTCATTTTATGTTCCTAGGCTCAGAGCATTTTATATTTTCAGTGTATATTTTAGTTTCTGCTGTGATCCTTGTGCTTTTTCTTGATGTTTTATTTTAAAAATTGCATTGTCAAATTTTGCTATTGCCACCACCTTTTCATTTTAGGCAGGCATCTTTTGGGGGGGGGGGTTGGGGGGTTGGGAGGTGCCAGTTATCAAATACTGTTAAATAAACAAAATATTGCAAGAGTTTTAAGCATATTTGTATTTTAAGCAAAAAAAATAATATCTTTAATTGTGTTTATATATTTTTTTAAAAGTTTATATCCCTGCTGCCTGACATTACATTTTATGACATGCATGGCCTGGCCCCACAAAGTCCCATTTACGTCAGATCCAGCCCTTGTAACAAATGAGTTTGAGAGCCCTGGGTTAGAGACTACTCTATACAAGATGTTTTAGTAGTTGTTCATACTAAAGTTATTTTAAGCCATTCCACATTCTGGTAGTCTTCATCTGTAGTCCCAGAAGTAGCATGTGGACTTTTGTTGAAATATGAATACAAATTTACTTACTGGATTCATAATTATGACATCAGGAGTTACAGAAGTCATAGACAGCTCAATTAAATAGTTTATCATCAAGAAACCAGGGTAGATAAATTAAGCACATGCCTAGTTAGTCGTAACTTCCCATTTGTGGACTATTCATCATGATAAATGATATTACACAGCTAAGCTTTTCACTCACAGGCTTTTACTAATATCACCATAGTAACATTCAGTTTTTTTCAGGGTTTTATTTAGGACTAAATGGAACACAAGGAATCGGACATTATCCGGATGCTATAATCTCTTTAATCCTCCAATCTTGCAAAACAAAACAAAAACAAATATGACTATATTTTCTACATCATAGATGCATCTGCCTTGTCCAACAATGAATTCAGAGGATATCCTACTTATTCAGCCAAAGAAATACATGCAAGAAGCACTCTGTAGCATCTTGAAGAGTAATAGTTTTAGAGTTCCATACATGAAGATACCATTGATCTGTACAAAGACAAGTTAGTACATACTGGGGCCAAAAAAGGAAACAAAATTCTAGGTATAGCAGCCAAAATGAACAGTGCAAGAACAAAGTGACCACTCACACCACCACTGTCTGATAATACTGACATAGCAGATAACTATACTGGTCTGTTAAACTATTCTAAATGCTTATTAGGAACAACTAGAAAACTGCAAGTCGTAAGAAAGCTTTCAAATTCCCCTAAAGTCTTTCTCAGTCTGTATGTTTCTATTAGATACCCTGAAACACTTCTCTCCTCTCCATCTAGGGGTCCCAACCAGTGTTACCTCTAAATTGAATTAGTGTGAGCTAGTTCACAGTTTTTTAGCCTCTAGAGCACACATTTTTGTCTTAGCTCAGGAAGGATGGCTCCAGGGCAAACTAATTCATGCAGTAGCCAAATCGTTCACTCACAACTTTAATGCTGGTAGCTCACAAAGTAGAATTTTTGCTCACAAGACTTTACAGCTTAAAGGGAGGATGCCAACCTCCAGGTGGTAGCTGGAGATCTCCTGGAATTACAACTGATTTCCAGGCAACAGAGATCAGTTAACCTGGGGGAAATGGCCACTTTGGAAGGTGTACCCTGCTGAGGTTCCTTCCCTCCCCACACCCTGCCCTTCTCAGGTTCCAGCCTCAAAATCTCCAGGTACTTCTCAACCCGGAGCTGGCAACTCTGACCCCATCTCTAATTTTTAAGTCAGGGTTGCTCACTGCTTTGTTTTAATTCATGGTTGCACACAATGTACAGTCCATGGACCATACATGTCCTATTGAAACACTGTGTAGCCTAAAGTCCCCTCCCATGCAGTTGGCAGGTATTCCAGCCCCTCTCCACAAAAGTTTTCATCACATCCCTGCTGTGGGATGCACCAAGAAGTCTCCCCTCTCCAGGGGGGATGCAGTCAGAATGCCGACTCCCAGCTGAGAGTTCTGACTCCCACTATGTCCCAGAGCAGGGATGTGCTAATAAAGCAGTGGTGGGGGGGGGGGGGGGAACGACGACAAAACACCATCTCTCAGCTGTTTCCTGGACTGTGAAAAGGCAGCCCTGGTACCAACATGGGACAGGTCCCTCAGTTCCAGTCAAGATCCATTATGGCTTATGTAACTTTGAGCTGTACACAACTCAATTTTAATTGGACATAAAAAGTTGCTGTACTGGAGATAGTCCTGTAATTGCTCTGCTAAGGAGAGTACTGCATTCCATATTAGCAAAGATTTTCTAATGACCTCTAGTTCATTAATTTCATGTCAGAGCTTCCCTTTGATGCTTACAACCATTGTCACTTATTTAAACTGAAAAATGGTAACACAAAATCTAGGCCTACCATGCCTTCTTCTGTTGCATATTCATTGTACTCCATTATAACTACTCACTAAATTTAGACATGTATGGGGTGCACCAC